ACCGAGGTTTAGCGGTTGATTGGTTTGGCCATGAAAAAGGGGCCAAAGTTCCCTAAATTCATCCACCCATATCCAGCTTACGTGGAACGGTTCAAATATCCTAAAGGTTTCAAAATTCCAGATTTTAGTCTTTTCGCTGGAGAATCGTCTTTATCCTCGTTAGAACATGTGGCCCGTTTCAGCGCGCAATGTGGAGATGTCGACAGTGATTTTCACAAGTTGCGACTATTCAATTTTTCATTGACAGGTTCAACATTTGCCTGGTATATCAACCTTCCACCCAATTCCATCCAAAGCTGGGAGGAATTGGTCGAGAGATTTCACGAGCAGTTTTATCGGCCAGGGATGGAAATGTCAGTTTCTTCGTTGGCAAGGATGGCTCAAGCATCTAATGAGTCACCAATGGATTATCTTACCAGATTTAAATCGGCCAGGAATTGATGCCGAGTACCTCTCCCTGAAGTTAAGTTTGTTAGACTTGTTTTGAACGGACTCGATGTAGAATACAAAAAGAAATTTCTGGGGGCAAAATTTCGAGATATGTATGAATTAGCCCAGCATGTCGAGCAATATGACTATTTGCTCCGAGAAAAGAAGATGTCGAAACCCCCATCTCGAGGGACGATTTACAAAAATCCTACGGTCAATTACGCGTCGACCGAAGGCGAGGAATCTCAGTACATCAGCGTGGACGCAACCGAGATAGTAATAGATAAACCATACGTGTGTTAGGCATTGACTCAAATTAATTCCAAAGAAGTCAAAACCCGTTCGGGCACTGAAGAAACAACAAAAACATCAAAAGTTTATACCTTTGATATCACAAAGGCCGAAGCAATTTTTGATCAATTGTTATCAGCGAAGATCATTAAACTTCGACCAGGGCATAATATTCCCAAGGCCGAAGAACTTAAAGGAAGGACATATTGCAAATACCATAACTCGACAAAGCATGCAACAAACAATTGTGTCATATTTCGTGATGATATCCAGAGCTGGATTGACAAAGGCAAGCTAAAGTTTCCTGAAAAACGCATGACGGTTGATACGGATCAATTCCCTTCAGTGACGGTCAGCATGGTAGACGCCCGTTTGCCCAAAAGCAAAGGAAAAGAGAAGGTCGAATTTACCCAGTACAACACATTCGGAAGCAAAGCTCCCAGCCTCGACTCAAGATCGATCTATTTTCCAATGCGCCACCTACCGAGCTATCAGGATCGGCCATAGTTAAACCAATGTCGAACTACAACAATGAAGAAAATGGCAGGCCAATAGTACCACAGATCCTAAAGAAAGGTTCCCAACCTCGACTCAAGATCGACTTGTTTTCTAATGCACCTCCTACCGAACTCTCAGGCCCTGCCATAGTCGAGTCCATGTCAGACTCCAGCGAAGATGGAAATGGCAGGCTGATAGTTTTGTGTAGTAATTGTAAGGCACGCGTTGTATTAACCGAGCCCAAGGGGAAACTGTCTTCGATGCAAATGCCAACATCACAACACCAATCGGCGACTACAGCAAAACCTTCAAAGGAACCTAGTGAAGGCCAGCGCCAAAAAGTATTCGACAGGCTCGGCCCAAGAAAACAGACAGATGGACCTACATCGGTCAGACAGCGCCTTGATTTCGACGCATCGTTTTACAACGAGGACTATTATTCCTGCAATTCCAGTAGTTCGAGCTTATCAGTAAATCAAAAGACCTTCAGGCCACCTGAACCACGTGACCAATGTTGGTACAACTATAATTCTCCTACCGGCATGTATACCGCGCTATCCAAATCTCAGAAACGTCGACGTCAGCGTATAGATTGCTTGGCTCGACGACAAGCTGCCCAACCTGTCTAGGCCACTAAATGGCAGCTGAAAGAGACGACAGGAAGTAGAGATGGTCGGCCAACCCCAACAATCATGGCTGAATTACAAGTGCAGAAGGAAACAAATCGGGACTTCAAAACTACCATTGAAGCAACCGAAAAGTGCATCAAACTTCTTATTCGGCCCGGGGAATTGAAAGCTCGTTTCGAGCAATTTAAGAAAGAGGCCGAAAGCCAATTGCCTCTGTTACCGTTGAAAGAACCTCTAATGAAAGTTCGACGGAATCTGTACCCTCCATTCCTTAGAATATATGAAAGAATTTCACAATAAATATTTTGCTAACGACTTATATGGGTTGCCGAAGGTCTGCCAAGAAGCTCTTGACCTGGTATTAACTTGCCCCAATGCTGAGCAGATCATCCAAAAAACCACTGATCCAGCAATGAAAGCCAAATTCCAGCACATTCAAGAAACTAAGGTTCTCGGCTTCAAGGTCGACCCATACACGGATATTGACACGGTCGAACTCCCTTTTTCTCTTGAAGACCTTCAACACCTTTGGTATCACTTCAAAGTTTTTTGGGTCGTTTCCTTGTTTGGCTTAACGACCGATGAGACAGAGCGTGTGGCACGACTGGATGCTTACCTGGACACCAGGAATGCCCGGATCGCCTATGAAGAACGAGCTCGTAAAATACGGTAGGAGCAGAGTCCGACACCAGATGCATGCAAATCCGAAGACAACAGTCAACAGGATACATCGTCGGATTGTATGGCTTAAACGCCTGAATATGTTGGGACACACAGTGAGCCGGCCGCGAACGCTCTGACACACTATGATATAGTCCTCACAACTCCGAAAGATGACGACCAGGATTCAATGGGCCCTTCAGTCCTTGAAAATATGGAAATCAGCATGGTCCATGTTCTATCGGTCGAATTTCAACTGACTATAAGCCAACCAAGTTCATTGGATGGCGATGTGGTCACCGAGGAAGCAACACAAGTTGATTTCGTCACTATGACGTTGGATGAGTCACCACATGGTGACGATAAACTTAAAACAGCCTTGGATATCTTGTTTCCCCATTCTTCCTCGACTAATCTTCATCATTTAAAATTGTTGTATGTCACAACCCATATTGAAGGCTACCCAATCTCCAAAATTTTCATTGATTACGGAGCAACGGTCAACATCATGCCTGTATCCGTCATGAAAGCATTACGACGATCCACCGACGAACTCATTCTTTCGGGAATAACCATGAGTAGCTTTGTCGGTGATAAGTCTCAGACCAAAGGGGTACTTCCTCTAAAGGTAAACATTGCAGGTCGCAATCACATGACCGTATTTTTTATCGTCGACTCCAAAACCGAATATAATGCTTTGCTCGGTAGGGATTGGATTCATCAAACGAATTGCATTCCTTATTCTTTATAGCAAGTTCTCATTTTTTAGGATGGTAAATCAGTTGTGGTCCACCCGGCCGACACTCAGCCGTTTGAAACTAACATGATTCAGGCCCGCTATTATGATGATCACATCGGCTATATTACCTTACAGGGTTTTAATGAAAATGGACGGCCAACCCAGATCTCAATCCAAAAAGCCATTGCGATAGGCGTCGAGACTGTCCACCAGGATTCGACGAGACTTGGTTTGGCCAATTTACTCCCCACCACTGATGATTGACATCAAAAGCGAGAGACGTCGGGCAGCAGTTTCATCCACGATGGAACGCCTACTGGCCTATTGGTATGCTATTGCCAAGCACCCGCATTCGGGCATCAACTTAATCGAATTTTTGGCCGAAGAAGATAACAGCCCGGTACTATCGTTGGATAAAGTTCAGGCTAGCCGAGCTCGAGAACAGTCGACCCCAAGTAAAGGATCCTCTAAAGGAAATAAATGTTGGAACGGTCGATAATCCTCGGCTGCTCTTTATTAGTACGTTACTGCCCCATGCCATGAAAGTTGAACTCCATCAATTACTTCACGAGTTTAAAGATTATTTTGCTTGGAGTTATCATGAAATGCCGGGTCTCAAATGAACCCTCGTCGAACATGAATTACGTATCAAACCTAGTTGCAAGCCTGTTCGACAACCTCCTCGTCAATTCTCGACCGAAGTACAACTCGGCATAAAAGATGAAATTGTCCGACTATTAAATACCGGGTTTATCCGAATCGCTCGATACGTCGAGTGGTTGGCGAATATCGTACCCGTACTCAAGAAAAATGGGGCCCTACGCATTTGCATTGATTTTCGAAATTTGAATCTGGCAACACCCAAGGATGCATATCCCGTGCCCATTTTAGATTTGCTTATCGACGCCGCAGCTAATCATGACATGCTATCATTCATGGATGGACATACCGGTTACAACCAGATATTTATTGCCGAGGCCGATGTTCATAAAACAGCTTTCCATTACCCGGGGGCACTCGGAACCTACGAATGAGTTGTCATGTCATTCGGTCTAAAGAAAGCTGGTGCCACATACCAATGCGCGATGAACACCATTTTTCATGACCTAATCGGCACTACCATAGAAGTGTATATTGATGACGTTGTGGTCAAATTGAAAAATCATCGAACGTATATTGATGATCTTTAGCAAGCTTTCCTTCGCATGCGACGACACAACCTTAAGATGAACTCGGCCAAATGCGCCTTTGGTGTGTCGGCCAGCAATTTCTTAGGTTTTCTTGTCCACCATCGCGGCATCGAGGTCGACGCGAACAAAGCTCGCGCGATCATTGACGCCCCACCACTGATGACCAAAAAACAACTCCAGTCCTTGCTCGGGAAAATAAATTTTCTTCGTTGATTCATAGCTAATTTCGCTAGCAAAATGACGACATTCTCTACACTATTGAAACTCAAGGACTCGGACAAGTTTGAGTGGCGTGAAGAACATTGAACGGCTTTCACACAAATCAAGGTTGCTCTCGTAACTCTACCTGTCCTCGTACCGTCCCGACGTGATAAACCTTTTAAGCTTTACCTTTCCACCGTTGAAGAATCCATCGGTTGCCTCCTCGCGCAAGATACCGATACTGGGCGAGAACAAGCTATTTTTTATCTTAGCCGGAACCTTACTACTCCAGAGATCAATTATTCACCCGTTGAGAAGCTTTGCTTGCCTTTGTTCTTCGCCGCTTCCAAACTCTGACACTACATGCTCCCATCCATTAAGCAGGTCATCGCCCAAACAATAGTCAAAGGCCAAATCGAGAAATTGACATTGGCACTATCGGAGTTTAGTTTGCAGTACGTCCCACAAAAAGCAGTCAAAGGACAAGCGCTTGCTGATTTCTTAGCCCATCACCCTTCTCTTTATGGGTTCGGGGGTAATGATGTTGAAATCGGAATGGTGGAAGCACGTGACAATTATTGGACGATGTATTTTGATGGTTCTAGCACGTCGACATCGGCCGGCGTGGCAATCGTCCTCCAGTCTCCACACCAACACCGTTGGTTCTTTTCCCTTAAGTTTGATTTCGAGTGTACCAACAATCAGGCCAAGTACGAAGCCATTGTTATCGGCCTTAGCGTGCTTCATGATTTACGCGATGTTCGTGTCCTCGTTTTCGGCGATTCAGAGCTTGTGATCAACCAACTTAATGGTACTTTTCGGTGTATGAGTTGCACTCTGGCGCCCTATCACATGGTGGCCAGTTACTTGGCCGAGTCATTCGACAGTATCACGTTCAAACATATTTCCCGTGGACAGAACACCGTCACAGACGAACTCCCTTAGATAGCCTCCGGAGCACAACTCCTGGGGGGCAAAAGTGGATCGATGATACCCATTTTACGGCAATCATATCCGACTTTGGTTAATTAACAAGTCCTTCAGCGCAACCAAGTCATCCGTACACGAGTAATGTCCTTACCTTCGTTATTGGAACGAGAGGATCTTGTAGATGTTTACGCGGTTGAGACGCTACCAAACTACTAGAGAAGGCCAATTATGCAATACCTTGATGATCCCAAAGGCAAACACGACCGAAAGACAAGGGTTCATGCCACAAACTACGTCTCGTACTAGAATGAGTTGTATCGAAAAGGTGAGGACGGATTATTACTGTTATGCCTCGGCCCACAAGAAACCGCCCAAGCAATCATAGAGGTACACGAAGGAATTTGCGGAGCCCATCAATCAGGACGCAAGATGGGTTGGCTACTTCACCGACATGGTTACTTTTGGCCAAGCATATTGAAAGATTGTATCGAGTATGCACGAAGATGCATCCAGTGTCAAATTCATAGACCCATCCAAAGGGTCCCGGTCGAATTACTTCATTCGGTCACCAAACCTTGGCCGTTCAAAGGATGGGCAATGGACATGATCGGCAAAATCACACCATCTTCTGGAGCAGCGAAACATGCATGGATACTCATGGTAACGGATTATTTCACTAAGTGGGTCGAAGCAAAATCATACGCCGAATTAACATCCAAGGAGGTTTGCAATTTTGTGAGGGAACATATTGTGACCAGGTTCGGCATGCCAGAAACGATCATAACTGATAATGGCACAGTCTTCATAGCCGAAAGGTTCAAAAAGTATACAGCGAGCTTAAAAATCCAGCTCGAGTAGTCCATACCATACTATCCATAAGCGAATGGATAAGCCGAGGCAAGTAATAAGGTTTTGATAGGTATTATTGAGAAAAATATAAAAGAAAGACCTGGCATGTGGCATTTAAAATTGAATGAAGCCTGATGGGCATACCGAACTTCACCCCGGTCGGCAACGAGGACCACCCCATATGCGTTAACATATGGACATGACGCGATGTTACTAGTCGAGCTAAGTGTAAATTCTTTAAGTATGATCGAGCAGAGTAGTTTGTCCAATGTTGAATATAATTAGGCCATGTTACAAGAGTTAGAAGATTTGGAAGAAGATCGGCTTGACGCTTACAATCTTCTAGTGGCACAAAAGAAAATTACCAAGCGAGCTTATAATCAAAGAGTCAAACAAAAAACGTTCGGCGAAGGAGAGTTAGTTTGGCAAATTGTGTTACCCGTGGGACTTAAAGACCCCAATTTCGGTAAATGGTCGCCGAATTGGGAAGGATCGTTTGTCGTCCATAAAGTTCTCTGTAAGGGGGCATACCATTTTAGAGATCGAACCATTATTATTCACAAATTACCAATTAATGGAAAGTTCTTAAAAAAATACTACCCAGTCACATGGGAGATGCAAGAGTAAAAGCTTGTTTCATTTCATTAATAAGATGGTTTACAATCAAATTATTCTAAGGCGATGAAGGAAGAAGAGTTCCAAGAAGTGCCTTCAGCTCCAGCCACCTCACCTCGCCTATTATGACCTCGGCCTGCTCGTTCTTCTTATCCAACTTCAGCTGCTCGACTTGCCTCGCGTTCGCCTTAAATTCAGTTAGACAAGATTTCCTGCCCGAATCAAAGTTCCTCGCAAGATAAGAAGCAAAGGCCGACCTTCGTTTTGCCAGTTCGACCATTTGACGGTCGAGGTTGGCCAAGGCTTCCCCTTTCGTCTTTAAGGCATCGATCTTCGGACGAAGGGTTTCCTGAATGGCCAGTCCAGTTTTCAAGTCATCATTAGTCCGAAGAGCGTTCTTGAGAATATTGAAAGATTCCCGAACTCACTCCAAGGCGGACGACGCCTGAACGACAACCTCGGTGCTCATTTGACCATTTGCTCCGAGATCGTTTAGGCATGCACCTAACGAATCGAGCCCTTTGCGCTCAAGGACTTGTGACGCCGAGAAAGATAAAACTTCTTCTAGCCGAACCAGAGTAGCTGAATCGGCAGATGCAGTCGTAGCGGCCGAAAGACCAGCGGCTTTAGAAGTGCTCGACAAGAGAGCATTAAATTTGACTTCCCATGAAGGCTGCACACAAAAATCATGTTAAGTACAAGGAAATTATGAAAAAATATATAGTAAGAAAGTTTTTGTTTTAAAACCTGCCGAGAGGAGACTTCGGCCATATCTTAGTGTTCGTTGCTCGAACCTAAAGAACTTAATGGCCGAGCCCAGTGCCTTAGACTGCTTCTTAGTTCACGCGGCCGATGGAGGTTATCTACGTTCGATGGCCATGGAGGCGGCCAAGAAATATAGATAACACCATTCGGCGTGTAGAATGGTCGATGAAAAGAATGGGTAGGCACCTGACATTTAGTATCTTCCTGGTTTAGAGATCTAAGGCAGAAAACTAACCAACGAAAGATGGTAGGGGTACTTACGAAGGTCGATGTGGCTTCTTGGGAAGGAATGTTGAGGTCCTGGTCCTACGGATGAACGGGTGTTTCCACCGTCGCTTCTGGCTCGACAACAGGTCGTTTGCCACGATCGGCTGTAGAATGACCGACTTAGACAACCGCCTCTGACGTAGGGGGAGTTGAATCACGTGGTTGAAGGCGACTCGTCAGTGGAATCTCATCGTTCCAGTCTCTCACTTCTAGAACGACTGCCGTGGGTTTTGGATTTTAGGGAAGTTTTTCTCAACCGAGGGGATCTCCCCTTCCAAGACAGGCGCAACAGCTGGCTCCAAGGTTGCAGGCACCTCGACCAGTGGAGCAACAACTGGTCCAGCAACTTGAGGAAACGGCCGTACATGGGCTGTTTCTTTAGCCGGAATTGGCCTTCTCTCTGTCGAAGCTTGGATGACAGAGGTAGAAGGGGAAACATTAGGAGTCATTGCTCCCGTAGTTTAACTAAAGATAACATGAATCTCCCGTTCCCCTTTCCTCGCCAGCTTCTTGACCCGTTTTACAGAGTGAGGAAGGTCGAAGGCCGTCTCGGCCTCTTGACGAGGCCGTTTGCTCAGTAAGGCATGCGCGGTAATCTTAGCCTTTTTGGAGATGGTAGATTTTTTGTCGGCCGTAGCCGTAGCGACCACTTCTGCTTTTTTCAGCGACCGACCACCTGAGAAAGCAAGAGCGAGTTAGTAGAGTTCAAAGTCGAAAGAAGAAGGTAGAAATAGATCGTTACCTTGAGATTGGGAGGGGCAGAAGCCTTATTGGGTCGATCGCCGAAGATCTTGTTCAGGACGTCTTCGACCGAAGCACCAAAAAAGCTTTGGGTATACTCTTCCCACCAATCACCGAAAGTGTCAGTGCTAAGAGATTTAGGAACGGTCGGTCGAAGGCAAAATTTTTGGCACCACTCTTGAAACTCTTTTTTGGCATCCTTGCACTCTTTGTCTGAAGAGCCATATAGGTGTCCTAGACTCAACCGGGAACGAGAGGTAAGAAGAGGCACCGGCCAACCCTGAAGATAACTGAGTTTTCGAGCAATGAATTGGGGGTGATATACTTCCCAATTTGCTCGGTGTGCGTCACACCCAAGAAAAAGGTCGCGGGTAAGCACAAACGACCCCCAGGATTGACGAAGATCAATATCAGCATCTGCACTCCATACTGATGTGGGGAGTTTGATCGATAAAGGATATTCTCGATGACGACAAATCAAGAATTCGTCATCAGAAAGAACATCAAGGCTAAAGAAGTATCTGAACATGTCTTCAGCTTGGTGAAGAGGTACTGGTCGAGGGGCTACCTGAAGACCGAGCGCTTCAGTAGGTGAGAAGCTAGCAAGCTCTGGCCGAAGGGTGACAAAATAAACCTGCAGCTAGAGTTGGAATACCCAGAAGGGACCACTCTGGTGTGGGTCGATCTTGTGAAGGGTCATCTCGGCCAAACAGCGCATGAGATGAGCAAGAATGGCTGGACTGAGCACCAGGGTGTGACCACTACCCAGGGCTTCGGCTACCGGCATGTTCTCGACCAAGCATTTGTTGGACTTGGTACAACAAATAAATTTGTTATACAAGTAGAAGAGGAAGGCTTCGTGTTCCCTCTGCCGTAGGTTCTCATCCTCTCGGCCAGCAAAGTGGAGATAGAGAGTGTTCTGAACTTCCTCATTCGAGGGTTCTTGGCCCTTTTCGCTCAGCATTTTGATGGCCTAATCATTGAAAAGAACCTTTAGGTCAATGGTCGATGGGTACCCGGAAAGGGTAGCGTCAACTGGGATACCGAAAGGGGAAGTCCCTAATATCGCAGTGATATCAAGGATAGTGGGGCCCATGGGGCCGAGGGGAAGGACCATGGTGTTGGTAGCTGAGCACCATAAGCTTGAGGCTGCCATAAAAAGCTCATTGTCCATGACGAGTTCCATAGACGAAAGATGAATGTCATCGTAAATGCCAAGAGCTTTCCATTGCTCGCCGAATATCTTTTCCATCTGAGCAACCCAAGCTACCCAGGTCGCAGTGGTCAAGGACCAAGAGCCTTGGGGTTTCACCAAATTCCACCTCGACCATTCAAACCCTAACAGTAAGGGTGTTAGGCATTGATCCTTAAAGAGCTCGGTAATGGCTGGTGGCACTGCGTCCTTGAAAAGTGGACTAAGGATTTGGTGGGGGGTGCTCATATCGCTCTCAAAGCGCATAGTCTTAATTGAGCGCTGATCGATGATGGTCCCATATTTGTCGCATTCCTTAGAGAGCTTGGAAATGAAGGAGGCCATTGGAAATGGTTTCGAAGGGTTTTTCTGGGAGAAAGTCAGGAGGTTTCTTTTAATCTTTGAGCAAGAGAGAGTTTGGAAAATTTAGCGTAAGAATGAATGATAAAAGGCCATGTATTTATAGACTCATGGAATGTAAGACCAAGCGGGGATAGTGATCAGGAAGATCGCTAATAATGATGGAATGATGGAGAATATTGACAGATTCAGAGAAAGAACCAACAAACTCGCTGATTAAGGGGTC